GTACAGAATACTTCCAGTTTTTACAGGAATAGAAACTCTCAGTAAAGAAAATATATAAAAATACACCCATATTGGCTTATTTCTTTATACCACCATGTTGATAAGCAAAATGCATAGAATTTCAAGCAATGCTGCAAATGCCAGTTCATTTTTATGACGTAAGAGTGTGACAGCCTCTGCCAGACCTAATCACAGATTTTCCAGGCCTGTGTTTTATACCATGCAAAATGTAACTTAATTAAATGGGCCTGGTGAGGTGGTTCACACCTGTAATCCCAGCAGTTTGGGAGGCTGAAGCAGGAGCATCACCTGAGCCCAGGAGTTTGTGACAAGCTTGGGCAACACAACGAGATTTTGTCTACAAAATGTATACTTTTAAAATTTTTAATTTTAAAGATGTGGGGTACAATTCAGAGTTAGGTATACAAATGTCCAGTATGCAAGTCCCCTTGTTGATGAGGTGTGTTCCCCCCACCCCAACTTCCCTGGCAGATTCCCAGAATTAACCAGGTGTGCACTACTTATGGTCCCTACTCGGGAGGCTGAAACAAAAGGATCACCTGAGCCCACGATGTCAAGGCTGCAGTGAGCCATGATCATGCTACAGTACTCTAGCCTGGACAACAAAGTGATACCCCTGACTCAAAAAAGTAAAATAAAATAATTAAAATTAAATGTTGCCCACCAAGTTCCCGGCTAATGGAAAATGGCATGCACGATGCAGTGTGACTGATGTCATGCACCAGTGAGTGGCCGAGATGCGTGTAAAGTAGTCTTAGGATGACTGCTGTGGGCCAGCGGGTGGCAGGACCTATGGCAGCAGCAGTTGAGTGCAAGCTTGCTTTTTCTGCTGATAGGCAGGTGACTGCAGCCTGTTCAGCCCAGAACACATTCTTCTCTGAGAGAAACCTGATGTACCCCTCAGCTTCCCCGCCCACCTCTGTCTTTGCTACCAATCGGCAGGACATGTACCTCTTATGCATCTGTGGACACGGTTCCAGGAGGATGTGCTATGAGGACCCCTGGAAGGTACGGCTTCAAGGGTAACAGGATCCAGGGGTTCCCAGGCATGTGTACTTCTGGAATCAGTAAAATAAGGGGGAAGGGGCAGTCACATGGAAATGGAAATTTTCTGCATCATCAGGTAAGAACATTAAGACACCAACAAGAGATAAATTAATAGTCAAACTGTGGTATTATCCACACAATGGGATGCTCTTCAGCATTAAAAGAAACAAATTACTGATATACTTAACTACATACATAAATCTCCAAAACACCATGTTAAATAAAAGCAGCTAGACACAGGAGATAAACGCCACGTGATGCCACATCTGTGACATGTTAGAATAGACGTGACTTGTCTGTTGTTGCAGAGGGCCCAGACGTGGGCATGGCTGCAAAAGGGCAGGAGAAACTGCTGGTGTGACTGCAAAGTTCTCAGTCTCAACTGCAGGCTAGTTGCATAGGAACACACACATATCACACTCATCAAACCACACTTAAAATGTGTGCCCTTCACTGTATGTAAATTGCACCTCAACATGGTTGATTTAAAAAATTAAATGAGCCCAAACAACCAAAACCTATCTACCATTTCACAGGTATTTCATAAAAGAATATTGTTTTTAATCCCCACAAATAAAGCAGGCATGAAAGATGATCTTTTTAAATTAAGTACGTTTCAGTTTAATAGAAAGCTCTATCACTCTCATTTTAAAAAGCAGTGATGGAAACCTCCTCAGGTCCCATCAGGGATCAGAAGATGAGTATTTGGGAATCCCAATTGTCCTTCTCCCTTCCCCTAAATGGCATGTCCTGTTCTGCCCTGGACCATTCCCTTCACAGGCTCCCGAGTATTTCAATCAGCAATGAACAAACCGAACTGGAGCTGCCAAATTGGGAAGAAAAATGAAAACAGCCAGGAAGAAGGAATGCTCTCAATAACTAATAAGTCCTACTTAACAAGGGTGGGGAGATGAGGGTCGGAAGCAGAGGGGATCAGAAGGGCGAGGGGAAGCTGTGGGAAGAACCCCGGGCAGTCACACTCCTACATGCCAGTTCCTTCCCAGACTTTCTGGGGCCTGTCAACACAGCCAGTGAAGACCCACCAGGTAGGCCCTTACGTGTTCACACAAATCAGCTGGGCCCCTGATTAAGCTGGCAGTGATACCAACAAGCTGTATGGTAAACAGGGGTGTTACATCAGGGGGGCATCAAGACCCAGCCCTGCTGGTCACAGAGGGCACAGCACCTCACTGTGTGCACTCAGGACCCCAGAAGACCTTTTATGACCATCACAGTGGATGACGAAAACCAAAAATTGATTTTTTAAAAAGAGATGCAGCAAAGATTTTTCTAAACTATAAACACAATAATATAAACTATCATATTTTCATATATACACACACATTAGCATCAGGTTTTTCCATTTTAAAAAGTCTAAAACTAAAGAGAATAGTCTTTTAAAAGTAATACTTTTTACCTTAGTCTTCTTAAAATCATTGGTTCATTAGGAGAATAATTTAGTGGTAGCTAAAATATTATCATAAGTGTGACTATTCTAGAAAACGGGATATGCATGAACTATCCAAATGATAGATGGAAAAGGTTGGCAAATTTAATTTTAAATTAGAAACTATTGGGCTAGGCTGTTTTGTTTGCTTTCTTAGGGGAGGGATGACATTCCCATCATGTTTGTTTCTAGTACTAGTCCTAGTACCTCTGTGACGGGGCACCCATATAGGTGTGGAGGTCCTTGGCATCCCTACCTGTGAAGGCGTGAGGAGACCTTAGACGGAGAACTAGAACCTTCACACTAATGCTAGCACATTCCCGGTGCTAATGATGACAGCACCTCGGATAAGCAGAAACAGGAAGCAGAACAGTGACATGCTCCCAGAGCTGTTTTTGATAAACACAAAGAAAGCAGAGCCCTTTGGATCTGTATTTCATGTATTTTGAAGTGGAAGCCTAGGTTCCAGAAAGCCTCATCTGATTTTCTATATTTGGTATCTCTAACTTGCTTTGAGAGCATCCTTACAACTTTGGTCATATCTGCACACCATGTGGACTATTATTTGCTTGTAATTTTTATTTAAATCAATGCATTTTTTTAAAAAAGTATCTTCTTTATCCAAGTTCAACACATGAAATTGATTTAATAACTGTATTTCATTAATACATTTATCTGTTAAAGAAAAAGAAATCCATGCACCAATGAAAATCATTGCATGTCCTTCACTGCTGTGAGTTCTATGCATTGGAGAATTCTCATTCTGAGCTCACAGAAGCCAGTCTCTACTGCCTAACTCAAAACCCTATAGACATAATGCAAACACAGCTTCAGAAATTATTTTTATATTTATGTATATAAAATTACATATATGTACACATACACATACAACTAGAATAGTTGAAAACAAGTGAAAAAAAAATTAACCAGGAATTAGGTATTGGGTCAGGGGCAGTAGGAAGTAACAGATCAAGGATGTAGAGTGACATTTAAATAAGAAACCACAGAATCGAATCAATAAAGAACAATGGCAACAAAACATAGATATCATGCTTTCTCAACAAAACCTCAAATATATAAACTAATGCCCAGGTTTATTTTTCTTTTTAAACAAAAACTAAGCATATGAATATAAAAATCTAAAAACCTTATTACCTGGAAAAGAAATGATTTACATTATATTCTCAGACTGAAAGAACATGTATACCTGGAGGGAGGGATCCCCAAGCACCCAAGGGCTCCCCTGAGTTGCATCAGGGGTCGGCTGGTGGGGAAGCTGGCTCCAGGCTCCTCCTTCCCACCTCGCTCCCTCCCTTCCTTCATAGCAGCTTCAGGCTTCTCTGCCTTTCACTGTGTCCTTCTGCATAAGATAGTCTTTGAATAAAGGGCCTTCTTGGATAAGACAAAATTTGGAGAATGCTGGTCTTATCCAATTCCCTCATTTTTACCAATGAGGAAACTGATGCCCAGAACTTAAGGCCACTCAGCAAACTGCAGCAGAGTCAGAGCCTACAGAGCTCAGCATCCAGATTCCCAGTCTGGTGTTACCTGAACAAAACCCCCTCCAAGAACACCCTTATGCATACATATACTGGTGACCCTAGTGGACTTCATTATATCAATACCTTCACTAAGCTATGAGAACAAGAAGTATGATTTATTTTTAATTCCTTGAGGAGGAGATGGTGGCCAGCAACATTTAGTACAATGTTTTGAGTCAATTAAAAAAATCAGAAAGAAGACGAAGTCATCATTTTGGAAAGCATGATGTAAGGAATCAGGTACATTTCTTCCTAAAAAGCTATATAAATCAGGGCAACTCCTCTGGGTCCCCTCCCACTCTGGGAGCTTTTTTGTCCTATCAATAAATCCTACTTTATCAAAAAAAAAAAAAACCCCAAAAAACCAAGTTATATAAATCAAATAATATCTGAAACAGATTAGGAAAGCTTCCTAATTAATAAAAGAAAGACAACACAAAAACAGCAGTAGTGATAACAGCAAGAGCTGTAATTTACTGTTTATAACATACCAGCCATGGGAAGTAGCACTATACATGCATTGATATCCCTATGACCTAAATATTATTAATCTCATTTGTATAGAAATGAAAACTGAGCCTTCGCCTATACATAGGGCAACCAACTGTACTATTTTGCTCACGACTATGGGTTACCTAGGGTGTGAAGCTTTAAGGGCGGAAAGTAGGAAAGTCCCAGGCAACCCAGGTGGTCACCCTACCTGTGGGGTAGATGACAGGAAATCTACATCTGTCTGACTCACCAACCACCACTGCTATGAGGCAACTTTCATTCATGTGTTACAGACTAGAGTTTCACAGACTGGTTTAAAGAAGGGCATGACCAATGTCTTTAAATACAAAATATCCACAAGTAGCTTCATCTTCTCTTGCAAAAAAAGACAGAGAAAGCCCTGTACAGCCTCCAGTCTCCATTTCTCCAAAGAGTAAAGCAGGGACACTTACCTTGACCTCAAACTCGAAGTGCGCATCCTTCCCTTGCCCACAGAGGACGTAGCGTGGAATACTAATTTTAATCGGGTCCTTCAGATCATCCGGATTTGCACCCAAAGAGCGAGAAACCATCCGCTATCAAAGGCACATCAGATAGGGAGAACAAAAAGAAACCAAAATCACTCCACTGCAAATGCCCTGCTTGGGTAGGAGGGAGAAAATGTATTTCAAGTTGAGAAAAGAACATCAAACCAGTAGAGTTTACTTAGAAAAATGATGGTTTTCTTAGAAGGAAATGCTGAGCCTCTCTCCTAACAAAAGATCATTTCTTCAGGTCCACCATTCCAAGAGGGTAGGGCAAAAGCTTACAAAATGTTGTTTGGCTTTGAAGTTCCTTCCAATTTATAAGAACAAATGAGAACAGGAACAGATTATACATCCTAACAAAAAATTCAATATAAATTAGATTCCTTTCTGAAAAGTCTTGACCATCTGACAAACTTTTTCTTCACAGACTATCAGATGGCTTGTACCTAAAGCAGCAAAAGCTGGAGATTTTAGTCAAATTTACTTCATTTTTAACTTTTAGGCATTTTTATAAGCCAACGTAGTGTGGAAATCTCTTCTGACTACAATTAAACAAATCCCAGGTATTTTTTTTTTAGGCTCCATTTGATTAATAATCAACTTGGCTCTGAAAAATATTTATGGTCTGGGCAGCGGGAAGACAGAGAGGTCTGAGGAAGAGGCATTATGAAAAATATAAATCTTGAACATGAGTCCTTGAGTGCGAGCAAGAGGAAATCTCTGAAAAATTCTTATTATTTGTACTAACTTGAGGCTTTAGAAAACAAAAGAAAATGTTTTTGAGGTAGTAGCAATAACATAAGCAGAAACATAAATACAGTTAGCATTTTTGAATGCTTACTATTTGCCAAGAACTACATTAAAGAGTTGACACGCATTGGCTTGTGTAATTCTCACAATCCTGCCATAAAGTATTAACCACTGTTAACCTGATTTATCAGATGATAGGCCCAAGACTGAGGACTGAGGCCACTTGACGGAGGTGAGGGGCAGAGTCAGGATTTGAACTCAGGCTGAGTTAGAGCCCACTTTTGTCTACAACACTACAGTATACTACACTGCTATCATGAAATTTTAAACAATTTAAAACTGAGATAAATTGAGCTATGAACACTTCAAACATACACAGATTTTAAGAAGCTGGAAACTCTGTTGAATATGTGAGAAACCCACTTATGTGACTACAGAGAAGGAAGTAGAGACTAGCTCCCTCATCCCATGAAAGGCCCAGCACAGCTGCTGTGTGAGGGATGAAATCTCAAGGGCACAGGGGCATGGGATCTGGCTCGGATGGCTGCCTTCAATCTGATGGTGTGAACATGTTGGCATGATATGAAGTTACCAGAGCCTGCTAGAGCACTTTAATATTTTCCCATGCGGCTGGTCACCCAAAACAAGAACAATTAATTTTTTATCACAATGGTCTGCCTATTTAGCTGTCCCTGATGTCAAACACCATTAAGAAATTCTTCTTTAAAAGGAGATTTCTCACTATGTGCATTGCTAAAGACTTTTTAACTCACTGACCATCCACTTTCAAAATATTTCAAATGCTGATAATTCCTGAAACATGAAATATGTTTTTCTATTTAAAGGTGAAAAGACAGATCAATAAATTAGTGGTCTTATTAATAAGAACACATTCAGGGTTAAGAAATGTCTTTGACTACAAATGCCATGGTTTAGTTTTGTTCTGCTACCTAAGTCCTGATCTCTTCTATGTTATGCTTAGTAACTATACTTGGAGGAACCAAAAACAAATTTGGAATTATCTTTTGAAGGGCTGGCTCCTTGTAGCACAGGCTTCCCCTGATAGGTAAGTGCTCTAGGAACCCACTGGCATCAGTGTACCAGCTAGCACTGTTGTGAGAGGCTGCATTCAGTTTAAGTGAATTTTTTTTTTGTAGAATCTTTCAACACGTTTGCCCATTTCTTGATGGGTGATTTATAATCATACCTGCTCACACTGTGCTGAGTGTTCAGCAGGTTTTGACCAAAGATAGCATGACCCCTGTGCCTCTACTCTCCCTATTCACCTGATCGCACCCTGAGTAAATTTTTTTTGTTTCACTTCTCAAAGTGAAACATTTTACTGATGTGGAAGAGGCGAAACAAAAAACAACAGAATCACTAAAAGGCACCCAAACTGACAAATTCACAAACTGTTTTTGAGCAGTGGAAAAAGCAACTTGATGGGTGTATTGCATCAAACAGAGTCCTTTGAAGGTGACGGAAGTTTAAGCATGGAAGAATAAATACACAATTTTTTAATAAATAAATTTTGGGATGGGGTGGGTCCATTCTCATATTTTTCAAGTAGGAACATAATCTCTTTTCCATCTGATATGCTCTCCTGTGGAATCAATTTGTTGTTCTGTATGCAGGTGTGTAAGACATTGGGGTTAGTATATGCAGCTAGGGACAACCTCAGTAGGGGCCATGCCACTGCAGGAACCTTATGCAACAACCAGCAATGGATAATACTAGCTGACAAGGGAAGACTCACTTGCTCCAGAAAGAACCTTGGCCCTCCTTGCACTGACCAAAAAGGCCAATGCCACAGCCAACTTGCAGATAAGTCATATGAATACTTAAAGGCTCTGTCCTAAGAGATGAGAAGGAGGAAAGGCAGGAAAGAAGGCAATTAACCTTTTTTCCTTCAACCAACTAGGAATAGTAAATAGTAAGATATTCCTAGGCATCACACAAACTTGACAAGGGGTCATTATTAAAGTTCTTTCCAAACTGTCTACTTGACTTGTCATTCAAGACACACGGTTATCACACACATACTTGTTGAGGGGGAAGCTCTAAAAGGCAAACTTTGTGTTTTTCATGGTTTCTTCTAGGGATACCACCAATGATATATTTGAACCATTCAAGATCACCTGAATTACGAGGTTCTCAAAAAGGTGTGGATGACAATATAAACAAGTACAACGCACTTGGTATGGAAACTTGACCTTTAGTTTATCTCCTTCTTACCGAAAATGGGCTTGGGATTCAGAAAGAGAGAAGGTGAACACTTGGAACCCAGTCTCAGCTCTAGGACTTGGCCTTGGAGTAACAGTCACTCATCCTCTTCGCCCCTCAGTCTCCCCATCCACGGTAACGGGCACCACATTTATTAAGTTCCAACTACATGGCAGGAACTCACTTGCAAATAAGACAGTACCTCATCCTGGTGGGACATAAGGTCAGAGGCAGGCTCTGACAAGTGAACTGACACTCACAGCAGGATTAGGAAGCTGTGATGGGGGAATGGAGTAAGAAGGATGATGAATATGTATACTGCCATCCAAATATCATGAGTTTAACTGAGGAAGAGATGTTGCCCAAACTGCCTAGGCATGTTCTGTCAACTAAACAATAGAGACTTAACTTTCTAAATGATTTTTCTTTAAGGCACCTCTAGGATATACAATCAAATGTTGGTATCTTTTACTGAAAACTAGATATGTGCCACCTGGAGGGCTAGGCCCTGGCAATACAAGATAACTTTTACTAAGTATTTGCAGTTTCTGAGACTGTTAGCTTTTCTCAACTGCATTAAGTTTCGAGCAGTTTTAGTGCTTCCATTCCAGATGGATTATATTCTAAAGGTAGATTTGCTCCTTTAACTTTCTCTTCTTATGTCTCTTTTGAAAATGGGACAGGACTCTAACTAATGGTCTGGGCATTTTACGCACAACTGATGATAGGCATTTTGCATCTGGAAAGATCTCAATGTCTAAGAATATACCACTGTAAAATCAATCCCTAATGGGAGGAAAGTTGCTTGAAGCTCAGGTTCCTATCCTTTAAAAAAAAAATCCCTGGTTTTGACAAAATCAATGGGCATTTGAACTGAGTAGGGACCAGTTCTATGAGAGTGAGTAGACCTTGTAACAGACATGTAGCTCACCTCAACTTAGGACAGCTCTTGACACCAGCATCTGCATATACCCAATAAAGGGTTCTAGACTGGATACAGAACTATTTCCCCAATAAACAACAGACAGTTAAGTGTAACAGGCTCCTTTGCCGAAAAGAAAGATATTTCTCCCTTCATTACTTAGCAGGTTGGGGACTAGAAATACTGCCAGAGTCCCTGCTGTCATCCTTGGCTATGGTTTACTTCAATCTCACTGATTTCATATGAACTAAATAGCAATGAGTATACAGAAATGAAAAGGTAAAATATATGGTAGAAATCTGAGCAGAAGCATAAATAAATTAAAAAGATAAAAATGTGTTTCAGGCCAGGTGTGGTGGCTCACTCCTGTAATCCCAGCATTTTGGGAGGCTGAGGTGGGAGGATCGTTTGAGCCTAGGAGTTGGAGACCGGCCTTGGCAACATAGCAAGACTTTGCCTCTAATAGTAAATAATAATAATAATAATAATAAATTAATTAAAAAATATAAAGTGAAAAAATGTGTTTCTCTTGAATCATTGATGTGATGTAATTTTTAAAAAATTATTTTATGAAGTCAACTTCATGAGAAATGTTGAATACACAGGATACGGTGTGAAAAGTTCCTGCTATTTTCCCAAACTATATTTATACTGAGCAAGGAAGAAAGCTAGCATAAATGTCTCTTATATTTATTTCTTGTGAAAGTGGCTATAATTTGAGTATCTTGAGTTTTATAACAGACATGCAAATAAGTGCTATACACATTATACCCCATTATTTTTGGGAGCTTTTAAGTTTCTATGGCATTATTTATTTTGGAATCAGTCACGGTTTCCCCTCATGTAGAAAAAACAGTCTCAGACTCTGAGACTCTAAAGAAACACGAAGGCTGTATGTTTAGAAGCTCCCCTCTGTAGCTGACCTGGCATGGGTGAATAATAAGACAGTCCAGAGAATTCTAAATGCACTGTGAAGGGGCTCTAATTAGAAATAAAAGGTCAAGAAAAAGTTCATAATTAGTAACTTGGATTACATGTCTATACATAAGAAACATCATCAACTTTTGGAATTAAATACAAAAATAGTTTTCTGATAAATTTTAATGAAATGTCTTATGTTAATAAATATATTAGTTTCCCATTGTTAGCAAAA